TAAAAAGTTCAATCAATCAATTCCAACTTTGCAAGATCTTTTTTTTCCCGCGAGAAGTTGAAATTGACTGATTGATTGAACCTTTTTTTTTTGCACACAGCGGCAGAGGCCTAAAGCGAAAAGGTTTTATAAAACCCAGCTAAAGGCCTAGGACTGGGGCGATGGCACGCGTGCCCACAGAGAGGGCTCTGAGTGCCGCCTCTGGCACCCATGGCATACCTTTGCCACCACTGGGCTAGCATGTCTTTCATGAGCAGTAAGGGGTAGACATTGTCCACGCACACGACATTCAAACATCTATAATCCATGCAGAGATGAAGAGACCCATCTTTTTTTCTCAAAATAGCACCAGAGGGGCCATTTTCACTCTGGCAAGTTAAATGAAACCACACTCCAAATTCTTATCTATGAATTTGCTCAGTTCTTCTAACTCTCGGCAGGTCATCGAATACAGCTTGGGTTTTGGAAACTTAGCTCTGGGGACAATCTCAATAGCACAGTCTGTGGGATGGTAGGGGAGCAATTCATCAAAGCCCTTCTTGCTAACAATCTCAGCTAGGTCCTGGCACACCTGGGGTATGCCTTCTAATTTCTGATCACTGAGTGCTACTACCACTTCATGTTCAAGCTTACCTTTGGGGCTGTGGTGACTATTGGGTGAATGGGGTTTCCCTTTTGGAAATCTCAAGTCTCCCATTCTCCAGTTCACCCACAGGTTCCATTTTTTTAACCAGGTCAGTCCTAGGATTAGGGGCCATTCCACTCCAGGCATCACTATAAAAGTCAAAGTCTCAGTATAGTCCCCCAAGGTTAATTTCATGGGCACCATGGCGAGGGTGGCCAGGATGCCCCCTGCGATAGACCCATCTAATTGACCGAATGAAATTGGCTTCTTTAGCCTCCTTACAGGAATCCCCCGATTGGCTTCTTTAGCCTCCTTACAGGAATCCCCCGATTCCCCACCAGGGTTGAGCTTATTAAACATCTGGTGCAGCCTGAGTTCAGTAAGGTCTTCAGGGCCAACTTCTTCTTCTTCTTCATATCTGGGATTAGCAGTTCTATGGGTCTGGTAATTGGTGCAATGGGTCCAATTACCAAGGGTTCGTGATCGGAGTCACTGTTGCACATCTCTGGACCCTTCTCCGGTGGGTTCAGAGTTTCCCCTCCCGATTTCTTGGTGGATTGGATCTCCATGACCTCAGCACTTTTCATCACCATCGCTCTTGGGTGCTGGGGTTTTTTAACAGTTTCCCCCCCAGGCCGGTCTTCTTTTCTCATCGGAGTCTTTGAATGACACTCTGCATCTTGATGGCCCTCTTTGCTGCATTTAAAGCTGGCAGTTGAGCGCAGGGTCACTGCGGGCTTTTCGTCGCCTCTCGCTGCCTCTTCAGTGGGGAACATTTCCATGCTTTACCGAAACGGTGTTGATTTCGGGGTTGGTCGATCTCTGCTTTCTTGGTCAGGATGCACTAGTCGTGGAGGTAGGCAGGGGATCCTTGGCCAATACAGGCATGTTCATCATTCAGCCTGTCCTTGAAACAGCTCACTAGGATATCCTCTGATCAGTTGAGATGGCAAGCCAGATCTCGGAATTCTTCAGTGTATTCAGCCATGGGTTGTCGGCCCTGTCTGACAGTCTTAATGAGATCCTTGGCTTTCTGATCGGCCAAGGGATCTTCAAACCACCATCTCAGTGCTGCCATGAGTCGGTTGAAGTTTTGAAGCTCGGGTGCCTTGGCATTGTGCCAAGCTGCTGCGCCTTCCAGCAAGCTGCTGCACCTTCCAGGGCCAGGGTGACGACCCTGACTGGGCGCCCTCACTAGGGAGCTCTCGGCCATACTCCTGCATATAGGTCATGATGTGGCCCAGGAAGAACCTCAGTTGCTGAGGGTCCTCATCATATTTCATGCCAAGGGGGGAGTCTTACACTCAGGACGGTGAGCCTCCCTCCTTTGGGCTCTGCACCCATCACCACCAGTTGGTGTAGCTTGAGCTGCGGTGTCACTGTGGTTGTGGCTCTCACAGTATCTGCAGCATTGGTAGAGATTCCTGGATTGGAGGGTTTGCTCTCCCCCTTCCAGACTCTTCCTCCAGCCTTTCCTTGACCTTGTCTCAGCAGGCATCTGCCTCTTCCTCCTTAAGGTTTTTAAAGGCCTCCACCATCAGGTTTATGCCTTACTTAAGGAAGCGATCGGCTCAGGTCAGCCTTTTGTCCTCTTCTTCACTAAGTTTGAGTGAACACTCCATTTCATGTCTCCAGCCTGGCTTGCGGCTGCCGCTGTTGATGGTCACTTTCTGGGACCTTCCTTCCCAGTCCTCCTTCTTCCCAATGCTGATTGACCACCTCGGCTTTGAGAGGGTCTCCCCAGTTGCTGCCTCATCCCCTGAGCCTGCAGAGTCAGGGGAGCTGTCGCTGGAGCAAGCTTTTGGGGTGGGGCTCTACCCAGCGCTCTCTCTCTTCCCTTTCACTGCCGTGGTTAGACATCATGTGCACTGTCCACATGGTAGATGTTTTCCTCCCTCCGGTTGACCATTTTGCAGATACTGCCTAATGTAAGGACCTGTCTCAATTAATTCTCCCAAGAAAACAGAACTCTTGAAACTTGCATTGTCTCAACAGGAACTTTTATTGGAAGGTATTGATAGCAGGATAGTAAGGCAGGATCTGAGGATTTCCCACATAAATGTTACATTAAAAGAGCCCTTTCAAACCCCAGCCCAAATGTCCATCCAGTCAGTTTGAATTGAATAAATCCATAGGTGCTAAGTTGTTGTGGGAAAGAACTGATAAGGCTCCATTCTCAAGGCTGTCAGTTTCTCTGTGGCATCTTCCCATCACCTCTCCAGGCAGATGGTCGGAGGCACATTCCTTTCACACCCCAAAGTAAGATATTTCAAAGAGGATAGAACAAAGCAAAGGAAGTACATTGCAGAAGACCCCTAGCCCCCCCCCAGTAGAATGGCAGAACCCAAAAATCAAAGCATAAGAAAGAAATACATTGAGGGTCTGACAATTTGTAAATGTAGCTTTAATTCTACTTTGCTATATGAAATTAGATGTAGTGATTATTTTTTCATCTCAGTGTTGGGATGCCTACATAAATGCTGGAAAGTTGTTTTCATGGGAAGTAGAAATGGATGCTCATATAAGTTTAACCTACTATTGTCTTGCTAACATGTCTTCTACTCATCTTCTGTTATAATTCTTAATAATCTCCTTCGTAGGAGATTACTAATTCATAATCTCCTTAATCTGAGAGCACATGTATTCCAATATTTTTAAAAGTAATGTTTATTTAAAAAACCAATGAGAAGCTTTTAGTCTGCTACACTTATTTTTCTTGAAACTTTCAGATGTTTGTAGAATTTAAAATTCTGCATACATTCTAGAAATGTTTTTCGTTATATACAGTAGAGCATAATGTATGTCACTATCTTCTTTTTATTAGATGGAATACTGTACAGTATACTGCATATCAAAATGAAATGAGGAAATAAAGAGAATATTCCAGCACTGTACAGTTACAAAACCAAATGCCTAAAAAAGCATCACATTCAGGTTTAACATATCTTGTAAGCAGCTTCTATAGTTAAAGAAATATAAAATTCACTCCTAGGGAAAAAAATTCAGCTCTTAATTTACTGATTTAATTTTAAAAAATAATGCAACAATTAAATTCACACATATTTAATTGATAATGGATTGTATGAATTCATTAGTGCACTTTCCTATAATGTAGTTATGGGACTGCAGTTCTATAGGATTGCTGCATAGGAAGAATCTATATTTTATACAGTTGGGTATTATGAGATTACAGGATCCTCCTTTTTCCTCTTTCTGACTCTGTCAATCAAATTTCCAAGAATATGATAATGTCATTGAAAGTGAAACCGTTTTAGTTATCCCAATAAATAAATCCCAATAGACACATAGCCCCAAATTTAATATGTAAGGTAAAATTTCCTGAAACATAGCCCATATTCTTTTCTTCTCAGATCCTACAGTGCTAAAAATCAGTACTGAGAACTGGATGATTTTTTTTTTCAACCTAACGGAGTCAAATGAAAGAAAAAAAGTAATTTATTAATAGAATATATAATGGCTCAAGTTTAGTAATGCCTTGACATAGTCATATTTGAAAATTTTACCATTCAAGCTTTTAAATGAAACACTGTATTTATTTTTTCTTTAATAGAACATAAAATGTACAGAATAAACTTAATATTTCTATAAAAATCATTTCAAATCAGATTAATTTCACAGTATGTGTTGAAAGCAATATAGTCCACCATTGAAGGTCATGTTCAACAATTCCCAAATTTTATCAATACAAATTAAAAATTGTGAACCAGAGAAGGTCAACTGCTACATCTATCTTGGTCAAAAGATAGATGTAGTGAAAGTGATATAATAGAGGAAATTTTGAACCAGACAAACTAGGTTGCAGAGCATTTGGACAATCTCATCCTAAATTCAAAAGCAACACATTCATCTACTTCAAGAGAAAATTGTTTAATCAGTGTATACTATCAATGTTGGCACATAGTTGCAAAATCTGGGTGTTAAATGCAAAAGCAGTACAGATGGTGAACATTATGCAAAAAATATGGAATAGGCAAATGCTCAATATAGCAGGGCATAAAACATAAAATTTTAGGTCTGGAAGGCAACTCAGAGATCTTCTAGACCCAACACACTGCTCAAGGCAGGAGACCCTATACCGTCCAGGTCAAATGGTTGTCCAGTCTACTTTTGAAAACCTCCAATGATGGAGAACCCACAACTCCATGAGGCAAGCTGTTCCACTGATTGTTCTTATTGTCAGAAAATTTCTCCTTACTTTTAGGTGGGATCTGTCTTTAACAAACTTCCACCCATTACTTCTTGTCCTGCCTTGAAAAATAAGACAATGCTTGGTGCTTTGGAGAATAAATCAATCACATCTTCTCTGTGACAGCCCCTAAGTACTGGAAGATAGCTATCATGTTCTCCTAATCCTTCTCTTCAATAGACTATACATGAAAATGACTCTGTAAATAAATCCCTGAAATATATTTAATTATGATAATTGCAATTGGTACATTGGAGAAAAAGAATGGTGGTGGGAACTTTACTGACATAAGTAAAATACATTTATAGAATAAAAAAAATGGACCCACCAATTGATAATGATATATGTCATAATGAAGGAAATGACAATTGGCTAGCTATTTTGTATAACAAACAAACAGATCAGTGGTGGACAACAATTCTCAAGTGGATATCAATTAACCATAAAAGACCCAGGAAATCCCAAATAAATATTGGGCAGATAATTAAATTCAGTTCAAAGATTGTAACTTCAACAAAATAATTGTGTTTTCTTATGGTAGAATTTAAAGATTATAATATATATTGGGTTTCCTCATAAGGAAGTAGATTCAGGTTTAGTCATGTGTAGAGTTAGATGCACTGAAATCAGTCAGTCAACATTGATTTCAGGGTGTCTGTTTTAAGCATACAACTTGAACCTGACTCACAGTCATTGCTGAATGCTGCCATAGGAAGAGATTTGTGGATGGTAATGTTCCTTTACATTTTATTTGTTGCTACATATTACAATAGGTATATTATTGCCATATCTGAAGACAAGAATTTTGCCTGGTATTGAATAGAATTTCCCAATCTTGCTTATACAGTAGTTGTTTGAGATAACCATTCTTTACTTGTTTCAAGAAATAGAATGAATAATTGCTTCATCTTTGAGCATTAGTGTTAAAAAACACTTTCATGCCTTTGCAAACATGTTCTAAGCACGCCCAACCCATCCTTATGTCCACTTGATAGAAATCTTGCTGATGTCCTGGTAGATAATACACTTTCCCTTCTAGTCTCCGAACTGTCACTCAGTAGCACCTTCCGTCCTACTACTTGCATGGACTTCTGATAAAACTCTTTGGATGCAAAGTAGTAAATGAATGGATCTATGCAGTTGTTGAGACAACTAAGGCACAAGGTGAGTTTGTAAATATGATAGTAACCCCTTCTCTCTGTGAGACGGCTGACGATGTGTACCAATAGGATAAAGTTGTTGGGTGCAAAACAAATGATGAAAACCAAGAGCACTATTATAGCCAAGTAGACCGACCGTGTCTTCTGTCCATTGCCATATTTGTGAGAAGCTTGAATAAGCTTCCAAATAATGGCAGTGTAGCAAGCAACGGTAACTGTGAATGGAAGCAAGAAAAAAAAAAAAAAGGGCAGCAGGAGGAAAGCTCCCCATGCAGAAATACTGGGAAACATATTCCATTGAAGGACATCAAAACAGGTTGTAATGTTCAGTTCTTTTACTTCGTAAGTCAGGTTAGTTGAGGCAAGGGGCCACAAGGCGAATAATACAAAAAACCACATTATAATACACGTAGCAATTGCATATCTCTTTTTTCTCCATTTCTGGGAGGTCAGTGGATATACCACCCCCAAATAACGCTCAAAGCTGATGAAGGTCATAGTCAATATGGAGGAATACATGTTTGCATAAAACATTATTGTGACGTAGCTGCACAGCTGTTTGCCGTAAGACCAGTGGTTCTTCTTCACATGGTATATAATCTGAAGGGGAAGACAGGAGGTCAATGCAAGATCTGTTAGGCTAAGGTTAATCATGAGAAGAATTGATGTTGTTTTGGGCTTGATATGAAAGAAGAGAATCCAGAGGGAGAAAATATTTCCAGGGATACTGATAATAACAACTAGTGAATACACAGTTGGTAAGATGATCATAATATCAGGATTCTTAAGCATGTCCATTGTTGCATTATCCAGTGACACGTTTTTAATCATTTTCTGTATTTGATTTCTTTGTTCTTGGAAATTTGAAAGATGTATCTCACAGCTTAAATTTGTACCCTATAAAGTAGAAAAATAAAGAAAAAAGGTCAGTGACAATGTGAAAGAAAACTTAGATGTGGCTTCTTTTATAGTACCACTTTCTCACATGTCATGTACACCTTTCTAAAGACAATTGCATATCTCTTTCTAAAGATATTTACTAAAGTAACTAGGCAGTCTACTGCTTCTGCTACTAAATTTATTCAGTATATCTATTAAGTACCTCAAAATTAAATTTGCCAAGCATTTGTACATTGCATAAGTAGCACTGCAACAGATCTATAACATTAACAAAATATAATATAATAAAATAGTAATATAGATTATAAAGATGTAAACTATGGAAAGAAGGGAGGGAGGGAGGGAGGGAGGGAGGAAAGAAGAAAATTTAAATGAAATATTTTTTATTAAAAATACTATATAAATGAGGTAACAGAAGGACCCAACTCTGGCCCCAGAAGTAAGACAAGGATAATCATGGCAAAACCATGAAGCTGCTTTTTAAACAAACTCTCACTCTTCTGCTCTGCCTTTGGATTTCAGATTAAATAGATATTTTAAGAAGACTTTCTGAGGATAGCTTCAGACTATGTGCATTTAGTGGGTGGCGTTCCATTAGGTACCATTGTCGATGGACATCAGTGTAGCCCCAAATACTTCTTTAGTGCTCTCAGATACTACCCTCCCCATTTTATTAGACTAAAATAAAATAAAAAATAGGAAGTAGGTATGTTGCAAGACAACAGTTTTTTACATTATATTTATTTACAAGAATGCCTTTTGCTCCACAAAAGTTCTAATAGGATGGTAGAGGCTACTTTGAATTCTGATATATATATCATTTTATATCTGGATAAGTTCATCATAGTAGTTATCTTGAGAATGTGCACCCTAGACATACACTCAAAATTCTAGATGTGTCACTGGCACCTTCTCCTGTTCTACTGCAAACCCAGCACCAGAGGACAATAGAAACCAGTGAAAGTGAAAAAGACAACAACAACAACAACAACAACAGTAGTAGTAGTAGTAGTAGTAGTAGTAGTAGTAGTAGTAATAGTAATAATAATAATAATAACAACAACAACAACAACAACGATGATGATGTGGTCAAAATTTTTGCTGATGCAAATATGGGAGTTGGTCCCATTTATCCAGCAATCACCAGATGAACTGGAAGAGATTTTACTAGTAAATGCATGTGTATATAATGCAATGTTTAGTATTGCAACAGGAAATATTCCTAAAATATCACATGTATCACAAGATAAAGACAATACTTTGATTGCTAATCATGTATAGAATTTCCATTTTATAAATCATATTATATGCATACTGTTGTGTTCTTTTGTATTCCCCCCCTTAATCCCCTATACACATCCTGATCACCCATTAAGGGTGATTGCCCTTCTCCATCTGCATACAGTTTCATGCCCGTTGCTGGTTGGCTAACTAGCAACGGGGTCTTACCAGCCAATGGAATTGTGTGATTACAAGCCAGGGGAATCCCATAAAAGAGGGCTCCCCTGGCCTAGATGCCAGTCCGGATTTACTTTATGCCTTGCCAATAAACCGAGAGCTGACTGTCACTCGACTCGTGTCTTACTGCCTGCGTGATCTAACACTGGCGACGAAGGTGGGATCCCAGTAAGACTGCACGACAAGGGCAACCTCGTGGCAAGCAACCTACTTCGAAGCAAAAGCTCCTCCACGCAGCCTTCCGAAGCAAGAAACTATCCGTGACTCCAAGATGGCTTCCACCTCAAAATTCTCGTCTTCCCTACCGGCATTCAACCCAGAAACAAACGACTGGGCCGCATACATGGGAAGATTCGAGCTACACCTGGCTGGGAATGGGCAACAAGGCATTCCCGGGGATCAGAAGAAGGCCTTATTCCTTGCGAACTGCGGAGACGAGGTCTACCACGTGGCCCGCTCCTTGGTCGCTCCAGCCAGCATCGAGGACACTCCTTGGGCAGATATCCAATGTCTGCTGGCTGGTCAGTACGGGATCTCCGAAGGGTTCCTAGTCGCAAGGAACCGCTTCT